AAGAGTAAACAAAGGTAACTTCAGGCTACAGCACTTCCAGAGACTGGTGTGGAGCAGATGGCCGAAGACATTCCAGACCGCCACAGGACACGTGTGCTGCAGATGATTTAGTTAACAAAACCTCTCCAGTATGTCGGCCTTATGCACATGACTCCAGTGACATTGTGACCAATAAAGGACAGCTGCCAGTCCGGCCTGTTTCGCCGCCGACCCACTTACCAAAGAATTGTGAGAATGACTTGCAAAAAAGAGCTACGCCAGTGACACCCACCCCAGTGACACCCGCTCCTGTTTCAAGCCCCCAGGTTCTCTGTCAAATGATCCCTTTAAATGGACAAAGCAGCATGATCAATGCCTATGTCAAGCCTTCAACTCCAACTGTCTCAACTCCCGTGAAACCTATATTACCGCAGACAGTCCCTCTCTCTCAGCCTGTACTCATGGGACCTTCTGTGCCTCAGGGGACTGTCATGTTGGTCCTCCCACAGACTGCTGTCACACAGGCACCGCAGTGCCCGCAAACAGTAGTGACTGTTGGGAACACCAAGTTACTGCCCCTTGCTCCTGCTCCCGTATTCATTGCTTCTGGTCAAAGCTGCACCCCCCAGGTGGACTTTTCTAGACGGAGGAATTACGTTTGCAACTTCCCAGGGTGCAAGAAAACCTATTTCAAAAGTTCCCACCTCAAAGCCCACCTTCGCACCCACACTGGTGTGTACGACAGGGCAGGTCCTTTGTTGCACTGGTTTGCATTGGGGTGCCAAAATGCACATTTTTGGGGCTACAGGGTGGGAAAGGGAAGAGGCAGGTGATCAGTAAACTTCCCCTTTCAAAGAAGGGAGAAATGTTCGTTCTCCATAGGCAAGCAAAACAAGACAGACTTTGTTCTGAGACCTCATCTGACCCCATAGTGTTAGTTGAATTTCACATGCTTTAGTTGGAGCAAAGCTTTGCCATCTGTGTGTGTGTTTAGACTTGAGTGGAATCATGCCATCTGGACTAGATCAAAATGAATTGTGCAGGTCCCTTTTTGGGAGCATGGAGAGATCTGGTGTAAGCAAACGGTAGTACTCACAGTTGGTCTTAATTGTTTCACACAGGAAAGAGAGAAGGATAAAAACGGCACGTTTTTGCAGAGTTTTGTCTAGGCTGAGCGAGAATGCATTGAGCTTTGGGGCTACTGTGTTAGGAACTACAGCTGCAGTTTATTCCATTACTGTAGCAGTTGTTAACTTAAAACTAACTTTGAGTTCTCAGGGACTATTTTTTATGTTGAGGGATAAGCATAGTGGGAGATTGGTACAGAATAGCTCATTCAAAAGTTTGTCTAATTTTGTTTTTCCTTGGCTTTTTCCCCCACCCTTGTCCCACAGACACTGTGGTTTATTGGATGTCAGCTTCTGTGGCAGGATTTGCATTAGTTTGCAAGCTTGCCTTTACAGTTCCTTTAGGGGAAGAGTTTAAACCCTGTAGGAAGCTGATAATCCTTGTAAACAAGAGCTCAGAGGTAGAATGCTGCTTCTACTTGTGGCTTGAGACTAAGTGCTGCAGACTGCTGAATTAACTTGGCACTACAGGATAAACATAAGCTAGCACCAAGCGTCTCACTTTGATCACGTGCTTACTGATGATCCGTGGGGAAGCTGTGTGTGTCTCTATCCTGATTAAGACTAGGGCATCTATGGATGGTGAAGCACACTGATTCCTCATAAGCCAGTCTGTATTACAGGATTGAGGGACACAGTAATTCAGCTTTCTTTTCCCACCTTTTCCCTGCATACTGGGTAGCTAGGTGATATCACATACACTAAATGTAGAACTTCAGTGTCAAAATGGGAAAACAAAACAGCGCTTCTGTGGGGTTTCCTTTCTGCTGGACACTTTTGTTCTTTTCCAGAATGTTACCATAAATTTGGGTGATGTAGTAGATGTTTATCTTCGTATTTACAGGGTTAGCAGGTGGTAGATCACATTGTTTGTGATAGGTCTGATGTTAAGCAGGATGAGCAGAAGTCAATGCGGACAGCCTTCATGACTGCTGTCGTTCCTGGGCATGCAGAACTCCCTTGTTGGACCCCAGCTGCATGGGGATGGCAAGATGAGCCAGTCCTCAGTAGTACCTGCTGGGAGGTGGTGTGTTTGTGTGTAGCTTTACGAAGACTCTTACTTTAAACTGGGGCTTTGGACAATTACAAAAAAATTGTCTTGATTAAAGAATGTACACAGAGGTCATAAATAGAAATTAGACTTATTTTTTTGGAGATTTTTCTCTTGAGGCACAACCTGACCTTCAGCTAACGTTGACTGCACACGAGAGCAGTTCTGTGGGATTCATCAGTTTTTGCACGGCAGCACTGAAATTAGCTTTTGGATCAAACTGTAACGCTTCTTTTATGTCCTGCAGGAGAAAAGCCCTTCAACTGCAACTGGGAAGGCTGTGACAAGAAGTTTGCGCGCTCAGACGAGCTGTCGCGCCACCGCAGGACTCACACGGGAGAGAAGAAGTTTGCCTGTCCCGTCTGCGAGCGCCGCTTCATGCGCAGCGACCACCTGACAAAGCACACCCGCCGCCACATGACCACCAAGAAGATCCCCAGCTGGCAGACAGAGGTTGGCAAACTCAACAGAATTGCCTCAGCAGAGAAGCCGAAAGGCAGCGGTGCTCTGAGTATGCTCATCCCTGTGCCATCGTCAGTCTGTCAAGGCTAGCGAGAGAAACCTTTTCTACAGACTTTCTGAAGATCAGGAAGAGCCCTCATGTCTACAGCAGAGACAACAATGGCTTTTTCCTCCCATGTTTGTGCATACTTTAGTTTCCTTTAGGTCCTCTGTTAATAATGCTGTGTGAAAAATCTGTAATACCTTTCTTTGTCCCTTCCCTATTTGTTTTTTCAATACTTGGGCAAATGCAATCACCAGCACTTCAGGAAAGCAGAGCTCTTTGGAAATTACTTTGGCAATAGGTTTAAAAAGTCACTTGTAATGCTTGCTGTTAATATTTTGATGAACAGTAAAACAGGGTGATTTTTAATTTTTATACTAGTATTTTCTATACCAAATATATTTTGTATTTATTCATTTTGGTCTTGGTATGCAGGTAAATTACTTGACCTGCATTAGTAGGGGCATGCAGGATGAGACCCAGAGTTCTGGAACTTCTCAGTAAACTTCTAGAATTGCATTTAGAGTGTTTTGTAAACACATAATATTTGATAACCCACAGTGGTTGGGATTTTCACACTTGCAGATTACTGGTGCTGTTGTACCCTCCTTATGCAGGTGGCATTGGAGGTTTGAGATCTAAGTGTGTCATCAGTTTTGAAACAAACTGAACTAGAATTACTTTCAGATGAAAAGTTTTGAAAACCTCAACATTTTATAAATTCATACCCTTTGCAAGGAAGTCCTTGTGACTTCTGGTACAAGTTCGACATTCTGGGAATTCCTGAGTCCACACTCCATTGGAGCAACGTTTGGTGGAACCAGACTGCTCTGATGGAAGTAGAAGCACAAACACTATTTAGAAGCTTTGACACTAAAAATTTTGCTTTACTTTCAGTCGTACTAAACCCAGCATATAAAAATCTACAGAAAAATGAAAAAATGGCAAGATAACCCACAAATAATTAGCTGGGTCTCTGTTTATATATATTTTATTTTTTTTTAGTACAGGAGAAACAGAAAATTTAGGGGTTTTTTTAATGTATCATGGATGCTTGTGCACCTTAAAGAAAATCGTTCAAGGCTTTCATTTACCTGTATCAAAGCACCAGAGGAAGTATTAATCATGTCTTGACTTAAGAAATAGCCACCGTGTCAACTTGATGATGCTCTTCATGTGGCCTTATACTTCTCCACAATACTTTGTATAAAATCACCCTTTTCTATTAAATGAGATAATCTCCCTCTTGAATGGATTTTCTTTTACACGGAGTGTAAATTTGGCTAAGAAGTGGCATCACTGGCTGCAGGAGTGCTGTGTTGCAATGGCATGGTATGAGCAATAAAGCAAAATGCCTGTAGCACCACCAGACTGCTCAGTTTCCATGGTGCGGAAGGATGTGCACGTGTATTGTAGCAGAGCTGACAGGAGGTGTTGCTTTGCTGGGAAACAGCTTACCTGCTGGATGAAATATTCCTGCACTGTTTACCCCTTCTGGACTCCTCCCTTTAGCCGCTTCTATGCTGAAGCTTAGTTGAACACTGAGGAGGACTATTTTTTTTTTCCTGGATGTGTAAAATGAGGATAATTAGGAATGCACTTTCTTGTATTGCTGTGTTGTTCTAAAATCCCAGTCTTGCTTCTCAGTGTGAGAAACATAATTCTCATCTATGTAAGTGCAGGCTCGCTGATCTCAGCTAGCACTCCACTGAAATCAGCAGAGACTTCTTTCAGTTGAAAGCAGAATACATCATTATTTTTTACACTGAAGTCTATGGGTATAATTAACGGTAACAAGTTTTCAAACTGCACTAAATTGGAGTATTATGTGAAGTGCTCTAAAGTTTTTGTGCCTGACCTTCAAAGTGTCCACATGCTGTTGGCTCCCCTCTCACTGCAGTCCCACTGATCACCTGTATGTGCTGGTGAGTGTGTGTGCTGGCTTCACTTCACCAAAGGGCTCGCCTGAAACCCTTCTTCCCAGTGAAGTGGATGCTTTTAGTGTCACTGTTCTGTGTCAATACTCAGTTTTCTGAATTCATTGTTTTTCCCCTGTTAAGTCCCTTAGAACAGGAAGTTTGACTTTTGGATGGCATTTTAGCATGCTTGTAACTGGGGGAAGAGCATCCTGTCTCAGCCCAGTAGCCAATTGAATATGTAACTTTAATGACATTGGTGGTGTGCACCTGAGCAAAACAGTTTGGAAACTCGTGTCATAATTTAATAAGGTGTCATGTTAGATTGTTGCATTGAAGGGGGAAATGATGGACTGGAGAATACGGAATTTCAAAAAAAGTGTGTTGTGTGTGCGTCATGATGCAGAAAAGTGACAGCTCCCTCTTGGTTAGATTTACCGGCCTGTGACACCTCACAGCCCTCTCCTGCAAAGTGTGTGCTGCCTCCCAGCACCTGTATCTCTGATGTGTGACTCTTCCTCCTGGGGATGTGCATGACTAGCTCAGCCACAGTGTGGCTGCCTCTGCTCTGTTTGCACTTTCTATTCCTTCCTGCTGTGTAAGGATTATTAATGGATTAAGCATGGGATAACTGCTCTCTGCACTTTACTGCCTGAACTCTATTGTTCAGTCTTTTTATTTTGAGCCTATATTTTAAAGAAATTAAATCGCACTTTTGTACCTGTTTTTAACTTTTATTAAATAAAAAGTATGTAATGTGACTGGGTTTAAATCATAAACCAATGGTGAAGTTTCAGGTTGCATACATGTCCATTCCAGAACTATGTAAATCCACCTGGATTAGATTATATATCTAGGCCAGTTGAAGACTTTGGGGCTCTCTAGTTCACTTACCTGTAAAGGCAGGACTTTTGGGGTCTGGTTGTAAATTGACCAGTGCTTGTCCATTTATAATTTTACACAATGCTTCTTCTGTATTTGCTAGAATGCGTGTACCACCTCCAGGGTTTGGGGTTCTTGCATGCTATCTGAAAAGAGTCTTGGGGTTCATAACTCTGTTTCTAACATGGCCTCCAGAAGCTATCCACAAAGGGTGGTGGTCCAAGTGCTGCTCTGTTGGTGTTGCAAGCTGTGCATGGCATGAATGCTGGAAATAAAGAAGAAATGAGAATTCGACTCAAAAGATGGCTGCATTAGCCCTTGGTTCTTGCTGTGTGCCTGTGCTCTGGTGGGGAGGTGGCTCTGGCAGGCTGGGTGTCATCTCTGGGTCTCAGCTGGGAAAGGTATCTAGCCATGGTGACAGCAGCAACAGCTCCTTTAAATTTGGAACATCTCTGCTGTTTCTTTCCTTGTGACCAGTTCCCACATTGTAGCAGTGCCTGTTTCTAGCAGGGTCATGTTTTAATGGAAGAGGAGGGGGTGTAGTTCCCCCAGCTTTATGTCACAACCTTTCATGGCAAGGTGACTCAGTCTCTGCAGTCAGAGCCCTTGGAGAGCAAACTGGTGGTGACTCAAGGTCTTGTCTGCAGAATAGCACACTTCCTGCAGGCATGTGGAAGATGAAAAGAGGTACCTGTGGATGGTCCTGCTCCCCCCTCAGGAGGGCAACTACAAGGATAAACTTTACTGCAGGATCAATGCTCTGGCTGAGTAGCACAAGCTCTTCAGCCCATGGGCTCAGCAGGTCTCGGTAATGCTTTTGACACCTGGGGAAGATGCCCTGCCTGTCTGATCCTACTACTGTTTTTCAAGGAAGATTTTTCTGAGCATCAAGTCATATTCTAAACAGTACCTGTCATTTTTTTGCTGATTTTTATATTTTCTCCCTCACTTTGCTTATATGAAACATGACTATGGATTTCTTAGTTCTGTGCTCATCTTTCTGCTTTTCCTTAGAGCCAGTCTGAGCTGTTACATGCAGCCAGGAGTGCACTCAATACACATCCTCGTGGGATGCCTGGAGCCTGGAACAGCTTCATGCTGTGAGAAAAAACAGTTTGCACGTGAGAAAGCCTTCCCCGTTGCTGTGCTAAAACAGGTGTCACACGGGCAAAAGTCTTTGTGTCTCGCAGCCATTCTAAATCCATGAAAACTAGTAATTACACCAGCACTGCTTTCCCGTGTGTGGCCACACAGCCAAACCCCCGGGTTAGTGGCAGCCTGCCTGGTCTTGCTGGCAACCGGGCGAGCACCGATCCGCTCGCAGGCAGGATGCTGGGAATGTGACCCCGTTCTGAAGCCGCGGTGCTAGGTGGGCACAAGTGGCCCGGGCTGCTGAGTGGTTGCACGCTCGGTGTGCTCCTCTGGCTGAGGCTCCAGCTCTGGCTAAGTCTCCATTTCCAGCTGTGAAAGCTGCGCTTGATATCCTGTGAGTGATGAAGGTGGCACTTCATCTGCCACCTCTTGTGAGCCAAGTTCTGCCTCAGGGTTGCTTCTGGTTTGAGCTCATCTGTTGGGATCAATCTTCTAACCAGTTCTGAAGTTTAATCTGTGAGCTCATCTGCCTGTTTACCTTGTTTTAGTGTCTGGCAGAGGAGCTTGAGGCAGGCAGGCTGTGGCCACAAAAAGGCAGTTTTTCCACACGTACAGAAGAAGTAAATCACAACTCAAAACCTGCAAACCCATCGGCTGAGGTAACGGTGTCACTGTTCAGGAGGATGCCACGAGGCCTCAGGCACGTCTGCTTGCAGTCCACGTGGTGCATGGGATTACCTTCCTCGCAGCCAGTTTGTTAGCACTGGGGCATTTTCTTTCCAGACCAGTTTTGTTCTGTCAAATTCAGCCTTCCTCAATTCAGTCTTGAGTGCAGGAGATATAAAGCAGGGGATATTTATGACCTGATGTGTGCAGAAGGCCATGGACACATTTTGCAGTGCAGGAAATTTGAGGAAGCTGGAGCATGACCTTCCCTGGGAAAGTTTTTCCTAGATGGGAAAGGTACCTTGGGTTTAGTTTTCTCCCTTGTAGTGTCTCTGGAGGCCAGAGCAATTTCTTTTTGTTACTGTTGTCCAGATAAGCCTACTTCACCCTGTGTAAATAATTGGTATGTCCTGGTGACCAGAGTGGGGGGAAAAAAACACAGCAACCTGTTGTGGATGGAGTCTGGGGAAGGCACCTGATCTCCACCTCCT